GTGAGCCTATTGCCATATACCGGGCACAATTCCCGACTCCGTGCTACTACTGAGAATTCTAAAAACCCCAGTAACAATGTGCACGACCCGGGAATCGAACCCGAGACCCCTTGCCCGGCAGTCGCACTTGCAACCACTCGGACAACGAGGCAGTCAGGATATTATATATAGGAGCATTACGGAGGAGAGTTTTGAATAAGTATTACATTACTACCACGTATGAAATCGTATATAAAAGTGAATTAGCTAATCTATATCTACTATTTTTATAAAGCTGAAGAGTTTATTTTTTTGTTTGTTTGTTTGAACGCGCTAATCTTCGGAACTACAAATCTGATTTGAATAATTCTTTTTGTGTTAGATAGCGCATTTATCGAAGAAGGCTATAAGCTATAAAACATCACGATACGACTAATAGGAGCTGAGCAGAGCGTATGAAACCGTGCGGAAGTAGTTAGTTATAAATATCTAGGACACATTGTCTACAATACGTATATGTATTGCTTCATGTATATGAAGTTTTGGTCGGAATAACAGTAAATATGTTTGTGATATCATGAATGAGGACAATAGCTTTCTACATGGTGTTTGTAGGCCATGACACACTGGACAAGTATGCCAAAATACTTGTGTAACTCGACCTATCCTAACATAGTGCGATCCTTTACGACAGTTTACGAAAAGTTATATTTTTGTTTGAGTGAGAAAGAAGATTTTCCCACTTTTGTTTACGCATTGTCTCAGGTGTGATGTAGGTACTAACTTTTACATTAATTGAAGTTCAATTTAGTGCGATATTACGATTTTTTTTATTACATAGGCCGCTAAACGAGCAGACGGATCACCTGATGGTAAGCAATCGGCGTCGCCCATGGACACCTGGAACACTAGAGGCGTTACAAGTGCGTTACCGGCCTTTTGCGGATTGAGGGATTAGGGAGATTGGGGAAGGGGAGGGTAATTAGGCCTCCGGTAACCTTACTCACACGACGAAACACAACACAAGCGTTGCTTCACGTCGGTTTTCTGTGAGCGATGTTGCGATGAAACGTTTTAAGTTTATTGTTACGAAAAATTTTTATTTTGTAACAGTAGCTGAGGTAAGAGTACAATGTCCTATAATAACTAGCAGAAACAGAAGATCTTGTAGACACGTCTCTAATATCCTTGCTTACCTACATTAAACATTATAAATACTATTTTAAACACATAATGCAAGACTGCCTTGTTGGCCAAGTGTCGCAAGTGCGAAGGGGTCTCGGGTTCGATTCCCGGGTCGGGCAAAGTACTACTGGGTTTTGAAAAACAATCTCAACGGTATATGGCAATAGGCTCACCCCTATTACATGGGACTCATAACATAAACAGTGAAAAGTGGGCGTTACATTGTACACTGGCATTAAGTGCTGCAATGTGCACCTCTGCCTACCCCTTCGGGGATAAAAGGCGTGATGTTATGTTATGTTATAACATAAATGCAAAACGGCATTTACAAATAAACTGCTGAATTAGATTACGACAAAGCAAATAAAAACAATACTGGAAAAGGTTTACAAAGACAAAATTGAATGAATAAATAGTGTTAGCTTGGCTGTAGGCCCTCTGACCTACATCTCTGCCGCGACTTGTTCTGAAGAAAAACTGAAGAATCACTTAATTTATCTTTGTATTGTTGTGTGACAGATCTAGGGTAGAACTTTAGTAGTTATTTACTCGAGGTATTATCAGTAGTGTTGGTCCTTGTACTATTTATTCTTTTGTATTGATAGCAACAAAGCCAAAGCTTGTCTCATGGTTAGCAATCATCGTAGTCTGCAACACTAGAAGCATCATGGATCACGATCACGTCGGTAAGGCACTCGTTGTTCAATTACAAGAATGACGATTGATGATATCAATTGAAAGATTGACTGTGGATAAAGCGAAAGAGGTATGTAGGAATCGTAGTAAGTAATTGGCGTTCCATAGTCTTTACCTACCCCCATGGAAGACAGGCGTGAAGTTATGTATGTATGTATTTATTTTCAATTACCTTAGGATTTTATGACTTTATGGAGTTTCTTGCTCGTTCTTCTCCATTCGAAACTACACTTTGTCTGTCAGTGAAGCTAGGCGCTCGTTCCAGACGGACTGACGATTAAATTTTTGACGTTTCAAAGTGCCTAATTAAGGATTAATTGAAATAAATGCTTTGACTTTGACTTTCATCTATACTAATATTATAAAGCTAAAGAGTTTGTTTTTTGTTTGTTTGTTTGAACGCGCTAATCTCCGAAACTACTGGTCCGATTTGAAAAAATCTTTCTGTGTTGGATAGCTCATTTATTGAGGAAGGCTATAGGTTATAAAACATTACGCTACGATTAATAGGTGCCGAGCAGAGCTAGTGAGACCGCGCGGAAGTAGTTAGTTAATATTATAAATTTGAAATTTTGTGTGTTTGTGTGTTTGATTGTGAATCAAAACGGCTGAAGGGATCGGGATGAAATTTGAAACAGGAATAAATTATAATCTGGAATAACAGCTACATTTTATGGCACGGGAACGCGGTTGAAAGCGCAGGCGCAGAAGCTAGTGTAAGACAAACTAAAGCTGTTTCTTTCTTTTATAGTTTTCGGAACGAGTTTGTAAAAATTTTTTAAGGGCTAGAAATCATCGAATGACTGCTCCCGCCTGGGTGAGGCGGGAGGGAGTGTCCGACTCTTACTGACTAAAAACCACCCCGTTCCTTCTCCTGCACGTCGAGCCGGAGCGCCGGTAAATCGTTAGGTTCTCCGCGACTCCAAATGACTTTGTGCCCATATTATTTATATTACCATATTATTATATTTATTTATTACCTACTGTGTCATAGGTCCCATGATAAAGTAGTTAATACTAAGATATTTCGTATCACAATCCTATTTACAATCTCTCTTGTTCCGAATAATTGGATTATACTATAGGCAACTCCCACTGTTATTTCTGTATTCTGTACCGTAGGAGCGTTTACAAATACAAACGGTGGATACAAAAACAACGTAACACAAAACTAATATTTGCCTTTTCTCAAATATTTGCACAACACGGAAAACGAATCCGTGTCACGTAATGCCTTAGTATAAAAAACGTAACTAGACGAAGCTTAGTTAAGAATTCTTATTTTTTTTTCGATTCTATATTTAAAATTAAGTTTGAATACTAGTTTCGTATAATAACTCTTTTTTTATTATCCTTACTAATATTATAAATCAGAAAGTGAGTTAGTTTGTTTGTTCCACTTTCACGCCGTAACTACTAAACCGATTGCTTTGAAATTTTGCAGACGTAAAGTTAGAAGTCTGGATTAAATAATAGGGTACTTTTTATCCCGGAAAAATTTGATATTCTCGAGGGGAAACGAAATTATTGGTATAGATGGCGCTGTGTGTATTTGTATATATCACATAGGCTACGTTTTATCCTATTGTCACGCGAGCGAAGCCGCGGGTAAAAGCTAGTAAGTAATATCTACTATTCATTCAATCTCTATATTAAAAGAAAAATAAATGCACTGCATCAATATTTTAATAAAATCTCTACAATACTAATTGTTAATACGTATGCGATACAATATTTGAATTCAAGTTAAACTCCAAAAATTGTAAACGACAATTTCACAACAGATCACATCAACAACCTATAAATGGCTACTGCTGACTTCTTCTTGCACAGAGAAGGTTTAAACATTAATCACCACGCTTGTTAAATGCAGGTTGATCAAACGATAATTTGCCACAGTCCAAACCAACGATTACACCTTATTCCTTCCGCTCCCAAGAGGTGTTTTAATTAAGTACCACTGTAGACTCCAGGTTAACTTTAAGCTACACAGTTAAGGCAAGTCCTTTGCCTAATTCTGGCCACTTTGTTTACAAGCAGACTTCCTAATTTAAGTCCATAATTCTTGAATGTTAATCCTACTAATATAAACCAAAAAAGTTATAGGGATGGACGGATGCTGCTCTTAAAAAAGTAGATCAAATATTTTGATGGGTTTACCTCTAATATACCTCTAGTTATAGTTATCGACATATCAGTTTTAGTTATACGGTCTCTTTTCATGTCTTACACGTTACACTTAAAAAAAAATAAAGAAAAAAAATCATTGTAAACCTCCTTTCAAATTGCATAGTGTTCCATATTCAAATGAACTTTACTTTTTAATGTTGTTCTCTACAGCTGGCTGCATCAAATTGCATTGTTAAAGTTCGTTCTCGAATTCAATTTATGAAATGTGTATGCCGCATTTATTATGCGGATACATCCAATTGCGGTCCGTTGATTGCTAATTAATGTTATGTTTTACGATAATTATAATGAAACAGGTTAAAATAAATTTGTAGGTAATCCATATTGTAGTTACTTGTATCATTTATGTGATATGATATGTGTCTTTTGTGGATGTACGAAATTATCAATAAAATTTGTTTTTGTGGCCCTAATCTTGTATTATATTTCGCTAAAATATGTCTATTTTAGGAGATTCAAATTTTTAGCATCCTTTATAGAGGTCGTTATGATAAGTAGAGCAAAAGGTTGGGTTTATTGTCTGTCGGAGTACTGCCGGTACTGGCGAACATAAAATGTACCGCATAATTTCCAACTACGAGCATAAAACAGCAAAGGTTATCTTTTGTTTGTTTAATTAAGTATATTTTATGTATTACACTTACATCGTTCTGCTAGAAATATAATTTGCAAATGCATTTATTTCTAAATTTAGTATTGTAAAGTAATGATAAAAATACATACGTTCACATACTCCCTCTTACATAACTTGATAGATCAAAACTAAATATTTTTAATTCATAATTCCATCAAAAACATAAACAACCTGTCTTCCTTTAAAACCTGCTTTATAAAACGAATCACAATACTAAACACCGGTGAAAGAGAACCCAAAACTCTATATCGTTAAAAAAAGAGTAAATATGGAATGACAGTTGATTCGAAAATTGAAAATTTGAATTTGAACTCACCGACGAGCGCGGCGAGTACCGCGAGCGTGGCGGCGGCCAACGCGGCCGTAGCCGGCGCGGCGCGGGGCATGACTGCCGGAGACACGCCGGGATGTTGCCAGCTTCCACTACTAAACTAACTACAATAACTCCCCCAATAAAGAAATAGTACTGAAGAGGTTTATTGCAGTTTGTGAAGTATTTTATTGAGCCAGTTTCTGTTGAATGTGATGTTACATGAAATTCTGTATTACATGGTCTGAATACCTTTCCATGTAGCATATTATACGGTTGAAGTGATCATTGTTCTTATATATAAGTTTTTATACAAGTGTATGAGAAGATATAAAAGTATAGTGTTAACTATATTCACGATTTACATACAGACACCAGAACATAACTTAAGTAGTATCAATTCCAGCTATTATGCCTGAAAAGGAAGAGTAGAAAAAACTGCAACCAACTTTCAGACCAATGCAGATATTCTCAAAAAGAAACAACACATAACATAACTTTCATTACCAAAACCATTCCTCAAAAATATACCTCCATAAATACCCCACGAAAATTAGTACAGAATGGTACGTTTTCTTTACCCTGGCAGCCCCGGCCGCGCCGCACGGTCGCCGCACGCGGCCGCAGCACGCCCGCCCCGCGCCCCGGAATGCGGCACTGCGCTCCGTCACGGGCACACGCCTGCACCTCTCCCATACACACACGACATACGAGATTAAAGTTACTGTTGGGAAACATTCACGTTGATGCTTTTTCTAACTTCTTCTTTGTGCCTTTGTTTTAAGGTCTATTATTTATTTTTCTTTATTATCTAAGAAAAACTCTTTTATCTTTCATGCCTTTTGATTTTGATGTTTAAATGTTTTATTAGTTAGCTATGTTTTACAATTAATTTAAGAGTTGGTTAATGTCTTTGGCTTATAATCAATCTTTGGCCGAAATTGGAGAAATTATTTAGAATTATTTTCTAGAAATAATGAGATTTAACAAAATGTTTTTTTAACTATCCATTATAGTTTCTAATGTTCACTTTTCATTGTAGTACATTTACAATTTATATTTGCTAGATTATTTTATTAATCATTCTTCTACCTTTAATACAAAATTTACATTCCGATAGACACACGAATAGACATTGGACACACACACATCGACGTGCGATACGTTCACATTCATCTCCGAGTACCCTGTTACTCTGCTCATCACCTTTCAAGTACTAGCGATGTAGTACGTTTTCATACAGAAACATATATTTTGCAGCTATATATTGCAGCTAATATACTATTATATTATGTAGATAGTAATGTTTGACATAGTTTGTTTTAAACTTATACGTAAAAAACAAGAAAAAAAAACTACATTTAAGCTGATAGGTTTACTAAAGTTAAGGTTAAACTTAAGTTCAATTATAATAAGAACTATTTTTTATGTTAAGTTTTCGTCAAAAACTTTGACATTCATCTTGAAAACAAAACGATATTTATATTTGTTTTTTTTTAACTCGTCGAGTACCGGTTTTGTAGACACAATTATAGAACAATAGGTTGCGGTCACCGGTGACCGCTTGGTGTTTGACAGTTTAAGGTCAGTTTTCATCATGTTATCTTATTTTGTTTCACGAAGAAAAGGCTGTAATATTATCTGTGCTTTCAGTGAGTTCTAAATAATAGTCCTACAACCAAACACTGAAAGGCAACATTTTAAATTATACTTAAAACTCGTACCATCTCTGTCATTTTACATAGAATTTGTAGTGATACAACTATATAAGCTCGACTTACAATTGAGTGACGTTTGAGTATTTCATCGTTAGTAATAATTCAAGGACCGGCTCGACGTGGTTTCACCGTGGTTTCAAAAATTCAAGGAATGGGGTGGTTTTTAGTCAGTAAGAGTCTGACACTCACTCCCGCCTCACCCAAGCGGGAGCAGTCATTTGATGATTTTCCCCCCTTAAAAAAAATAGGTGAGAATTCGGAAACTCGAAAAGTATTTTACAATTCAAAAAAGGTTGATTTTTCAATCAACAGATAATTCTTAACTTTGAAATTTTGAATATGGAAGTAAATAGTCAAGTATTCAAAATGATTCCTCGGATAAAATTCATCTGGCGTTGGAAAAATCGACCCTAAGTCAGTCAGGCAACCAATAAGGTAATGTTATTTATTTAATCTGATATTATCACACACCCCTTTCACCATCACTTACGTAGTGCGTAGATAAGATGACTAAGCCGTAGCATTCGTAGAACCGCTACGAGAGCGTCGAGTGACTACGACGGAGCTGCTACAATTACCGCTACGAGCTACGGCTACGGATTACATTTTTTTAAGTTACATATTTCAAATGCATATTTATCGCCTAGTTTTTTTTTACTTTGGGTTCTTAAATATTTAACGGTGTCTTTATTAGGTTAGGCATTATTTTATTAAATATTTTGAAAAATGCAATTGGTTCACTTAAACTGTCAAACACCGCGAGGACACCGGTGACCGCAACCTATTGTTCTTTAATTGTGTCTATAATGACGGTACTCAACGAGTTAAATATAGTAATAAGCAATCGGCGTCACCCATGGACACCTGGAACACCAGAGGCGTTACAAGTGCGTTACCGGTTTTTTGGGCAGATTGGGGAAGGGGAGGGTAATTGAGCCTCCGGTAACCTCACTTACACGTGTGAGGCCGTGGTATTACTCCGGTCGAGCCGGCCCATTCGTACCGAAGCATGGCTCTCCCACACTTGTTTATAGAGGTAATATAAATATTTTTTCTGCCAAAGTTCTAATAGTGATTTTCCAACATAACATAACATCACGCCTTTTATCCCCGAAGGGGTAGGCAGAGGTGCACACAGAAGTAACACCCACTTTTCACTATTTATGTTATGACTCCCATGTAATAGGGGGTGAGCCTATTGCCATATACCGGGCACATTTCCGTGCTACTACTGAGGATTTTTTAAAAACCCAGTAATACTTTGCCCGACCCGGGAATCGAACCCGAGACCCCTTGCCCGGCAGTCACACTTGCGACCACTCGGCTAACGAGGCAGTGATTTTCCAAAGTAACTATTAAGTTACTTATCAAACTAGACCTATATAGTAAGCAACTAAAGATGCGTCAGCATTCCATTATACACGTATTGAGGTGTTTATGTGTTAGCAGTAAATTTAGAAGTCGATACAATTACATGGCAAGTTTCCAAACTTGTGTAATTTATGTCTAGCTAGACTAATACTTTAATTACTAACAAATATACCTTGTGTATGTGTATGTACCTCCTACAGATACTTGGAAGCTACTATCTATACTGTTATTATAGGTGTAACTACATACTAGCAGTTTTGTTTTTGTTTTATCACGCCAGACTGTAAGACGTGCCGTGACGAACGTAAAAAGGCTCCAGACGTGCAGGAGAAGGAACGGGGTGGTTTTTAGTCAGTAAGCATTTGACACTCCCTCCGGTCTCACCCAGACGAGAGAAGACATACGATGATTTTCCTCCCTTTAAAAATGACTGTAAAACCTGTTTTAATATGAAGTATAGGATTTAACTTTCATTCTTAATCACCGTTTGGCTTAAAATACTTTCATTTTGAACTTGTGACCTCGCGCTCCTGTCACATTGGACCCTATAATAACTTGTAGTTTATCAACTGAAAAGAACAACCCAATTATAGAACCAAGTCGTGAAACATGAAACTGAAGAATCCCAGTCTCGAATTTCAAATGTTTTTTCATGACAGGTTTAATTACAGCCTTACAGGGCTGTAAGCGAAGCCTTATTTTAATGAACACTCTTCAAAGGGATGACTCGCTTTCAGCTTTTTGACGGCAGCTTTCAGCTTTTTTCGACGAAGCTTTTTTCAGGTTACCGTTTCAGATTTTCAGTGTGTTTTCTTAAGATTCTTTTGCCTTCAGTTTTGTTACAGGTGCTAGGGAATTGGGTTTATGTTTATGGTCGCCGGCTTCTTCCTTTTTTTAATAAATAATGTATTTCGGTCATGTTCTGTGAACGTAAGGAAAGTACGTGTAGGCTTTAGAAAGGTCATTTCTGTACATATTTTGTTGTATAACATCTTCATGTAGGCATAAAAAGCGGTAGGTGTATGAAGAGGCAGCATTGCCACATTAAAACTTAGACTTAATATTGACAAAAAAAAAGTATAAAGTACTCGACTGCATCGCTGGTCGAGTTGTCGCAAGTGCGACTGCCGCCCAAGGGGTCTCGGGTTCCCAGGTATGGCAAAGTATTGCTGGATTTTTTTTATTCTCAGAAATAGCACGGAGGCCGGAATTGTGTCCGGTATATGGCAATAGGTTCACCCCCTATTACAAGAGACTTATATTTTATAACATAAATAGTGAAAGTGGGTGTTACATTGTACAGTGGCATTAAGTGCCGTAATGTCACTGAGCAGTGAGTGCGATTATAGAGTACAAGTTAGAAGAAAACGATTTTAAATGGATATCAAAATTGGACCATAAGAAATACCCGCTGTTACTTGACACTAATAAAATCTGTTTTCACATCACAACTAAGATATAGTAAATTGTGATTGTTTTTAAGTAAGTAAGTAGTTTGATTTAAGCACATTAAACATTTCTTAAGAATTTAATTATCAATAATGTACGATTTAATCAAAAACACCTAACTAATTATAAAATTGTATAAAATATTCTCAAACAATAATTAAACACTAAAATATTTATTCGAAGAACCACGTCAACCATCAACCGTTGACCTCCAAGGGTTGTTTATGGTCGGTTGCCTAGCAACGGGGCGCCCCTAGCAACCGATTGAAATATTTCAATGAAAATGCCATTGACTTTTGCAATTACTATTTAGTGAGTCTTAAAAATATATTTATTTGATAAAGGGAGAGAAAATGTCTGGAGTTACACGACCCATGAGTCAAATGAGAAAGTTTGAAACTGTAAGTTTGTTCGTTTATTTATTATTCATTTATTGAAAGAGATATTGTTCGTTATAGTAAGTCAGTGTTCCTTGATTTATTATTATCGAAGCTGTAGTAAAACGAGGTATACAGAGAACAGATTCTTTTACCTTGTG